CACCTTGTTGTCTCAGATTCTCCAGCATCTGCAGTTCCTACTATCTCTGGTCAAATTATTAGACTTTACTGAATGTATTCGTACAAATTATGAGGGAGGCCCACCAGCCCAACTCCATTCCCCCACCCTGACAGAAAGGCTCACTTTTAAACTGTCCTTTCTCCCCCATGGGGTGGGGATTGGAGAATAGGGAACTGCTTCCCCCGGGGGTAGGAGCCCAAAACCCAGGGCTCAGTGATTGAAGGTAAATTGCCCCGTATTTAATGGGTTCTCAGTCTGTGCACTAACATGACCCAGACCATGAGGCTGTCTCCCTAACTCTGTCCCAATGAGGACAACTATCTTCTGGACTACTCCCTGGTTCAGGCTGGTCACCATTAACTGGGTCTGCAGCCTCTTTCACTATCATCACCAAATCGTCAAAATCTGTCCCACGTCCAGTCTGTGTCCAACGACAGTCAGGATTTTTTTTCCCCCTTTATTCATTAACAGGATGAGGGCATCGCTGACTAGGCAGCATTTACTGCCCATCCCTAATTGCCCAGAGGGCAGTTAGAAGTCAATCACATTGCTGTGGGTCTGGAGTCACATGTAGGCCAGACCAGGTAAGGATGGCAGTTTCCTTCCCTAAAGGGCATTAGTGAACCAGATGGATTTTTCCCCAACAATCAACAATGGATTCACAGTCATCATTAGATTCTTCATTCCAGATATTTTTATTGAATTCAAATTCCACCATCTGCCGTGGCGGGATTCAAACCCAGGTCCCCAGAACATTATGTGGGTCTCTGGATTAATAGTCCAGTGATAATACCAATAGACCATCGCCTCCCCGTGAGTGTTTTACTCACTCGTGGGACGTGGGCATTGCTGGCTGGGTCAGAATTTATTTGCTCATCCCTAGTCATCCGTGCTGACCAGATGCCCTAAATTAATCGAGTTGTATTTGCCAGCATTTGGCCCGTCTAAACTCTTCCTAATCATATACCTATTCAGATGCCTTTTAAATGTTGTAATTGTACCAACCTCTACCACTTCCTCTCATTCTACACATGCACCACCCTCTGCGTGAAAAAGTTGTCTCTTGGGTCCCTTTTAAATCTTTCCCCTCTCACCTTAAACCTATGCCCTCCAGGTTTAGATGTCCCCTCCCCGTGGAAAAGTCCTTGTTTATTTATCCTATTCATGCTCTTCATGATTATATAAACTTCTGTACGGTCACCCCTCAGCCTCCGACGCCCCAGGGAAACTAGCCCCAGCCTATTCAGCCCCTCCCTTTAGCTCAAACCCTCCGACCTTGGCAACATCCTTGTAAATCTTTTCTGAACCTTTTCAAGTACTTGACTTTAAGTCTGTCACAGCCAAGCCAACCTCTGTTTGGGCCTGGTTTCTATGCGTGACAACTTTTAAGAAAGGATATAACAATCATGGGTAAATGTAAAGTTTGTTCATGTTCTTATTTCCTGCAATTACAAATCCTCTTTGATGGTCTTTCACACAACTTTCTTTGGTTGTGTAACCTTTAGAATCAGAATTGCCTTTATATTCTGATGAGAAAGTTGATGGTGGAGGGTTCATTGATGGTAATGCCATTGAAATTCAAAGGGCAGTGGTTAAATTCTCTCCTGTCAAGGATACCTGGCAGAGGTGTGGTGTGAATGCTCCTTGCTGCTTGCCTACCCAAATCTGGGAATATTGTCCAGGTCTTGCAGTGTTTCAGAATGCAAGGAGGTGTGATTGTTGCTGAACAACATGTCACCATCAGCGAACATATCACCCCTTGTGATGAAGGGATGGTCATCAATGGAAGATGATGATTGGGTCTAGGTCATACCCTGAGGAATTCCTGCAGAGGTGTCTTGGAGCTGAGATGGTTGAACCACAACCATCTCTCTACGTGCCAGGTATGAGTCTAACCAGTGAAGAAATCCACCCCCACCCCACCGCTGATTCCCATTAACACAAGTATTGTTAGGATTCCTTCATGCCGTATTCACATCAATCTCACCTCACGTGTCCATGTTTGAACCAAGGTTGTCATGAGGTCAGGAGCTGAGTGGCCCTGGCAGAGCCTTCCATCACTTTACTGATGATTGTGGGTAGACTGATCGGGTGGTGATTGACTGCGCTGAACATGCCCTGTTTTTTGTATATGGGCCATACCACATTGTCGGGTAGATATTAGTGTTGTACCTGTACTGGAACAGCTCGGCTTGGGGCACAGTGAGTTGTGGAGCCTGCGTCTTCAGTGCGATTGGTAGACCGTCATCGGGCTCATAGCCTTTGCCCTGGATAAACCAGAGCCATATCTGGTCCAACGTGAGGGGGACAGGTTTGGTTTAGGAGGTCTGGAAGGATTTATGGAGAACGTTCAGAACAAACCTCAGCTCTGCCTTATGTCACTATCTGTGTCACCACTCCCCCCACCCCACCCTCAAAATCTGAACAGCTAACACTGTAAAGATTTCTGATAGCCCTACACGCTGACACTGTATAAAGTGATATGTGTTTACTGACTGCACACCATGGTGGTGTGACAGTAGCACCAGCGCAGTAGGCCTGTCAGCTCAAGGCTGGTTGCAATCCTTTATTTCTCTCTCTCCTTTTTGTCTTTTTCTCTTTTCTTCACCTTCCTGACGTCGTGGGGAGGCTGGGAGGGCGGCGGCAGTGACCTGAGTGGGGATTTCTATCTTTATAGGCCCGACGCATGGACCTTGCAAAAGTCCCGGAGCCATATCTGGGACCCGGCCGATTATGACGAACTCTATTAAAGTACTTTATTTTTATTCTTTTGTACCGGATTGTGGCAATAGAGCACTTTTCACTGTATCTCCCTAGATATACGTGACAATAAATCACTCATTCATCATTCACTCATGGCATTTATAAGCAGAGGCAAAGGTCAGATACCAACAGAAAGCCAGCCAGTATGTTATGGGTATGATCACATTTCTGTAAACAAGACACCGCACTCTTTCTGATCAGAATAACTCGCCAACAGCTGAACACAGCAAAAACAAAGAGAAATCAAATTAGTTCCCCAATCGCAGCTTGAGATGTGAATATGGACAGTGACCGGGTCTGGTTTGTACAAGGCTGAATACATGTCACTCAACAATTTTCCCACCGACTCCACTGGTACATCTTCAGTGTTCCCAAGGACCTTAAACAGAGGCTCAGTATTAGTCACCCCTACTCCCCCAGGGCTTGTTCTAGTCTTGTTACTGCTGAAGGTTCTCATCTCCCGCTTCTTCTCCTCAGCCTCCTGGAAATCAGGGGTTGGTTTAGCTCAGGTGGCCGGGTGCTTGGTTTGCGATGCAGAGTGACGCCAACAGTGTTGGTTCAATTCCCACGTTGACTGAGGTCACCATGACGGACTCTCATTCTTAACCTCTCCCCTGGCCTGAGGAGTGGTGACTCTTGGGTTAAACCCCCACCATTCTCTCATGTGACAGCTGCCCTGCAGTCTGGGAGAAATATGGTGACTTTGCCTGGAGAACAAAGGAGTGACAACTGTGAAACTGACAGTCTGAGGACACTGCAGTGGATCTCCAAGGGAGGAAGTAGGAAGATCCAAAAGAACAGCAGACAGGGGAAGCACTATGCTAGCAAAAAAGAACTTTAAAAACAAAACCACTAAACTCTGCACTCTCATCACTTACAAAACTAATGTCAACCCAAAATAAAGGATTGGGGTTTGGTTAGCTTGCTGGTGAACAGTGATATAAACTGGTCTGTGCTGTGACTGCGCAGTGAATTCTTAACCTCAGATTAACCGTCACTGCTCTCAGACAGAATAGAGTCGAAGGGATGAATGGCTTGCACCTGAGAAAGGTCATTGGTCTAAATGTTTCTTTCTGGATGCTGCCTAAATTGCTGAGAAGCAGCACCGTTTTCAATCTTGTCCTTTGGCAATGCTGCTAAAAATTGGGAGGATTGAAAATTGCAGTTTTAACACAAGGCTGCATAAGTTTAAACAATATGATTTAAAACCTGCCTGAACCTTTGTAACCTTGACTTGCATCTAGAGTCAAGGGTTGTACAGCACAGGAACAGACCCTTTGGATTATCTTGTCCACACTGACCAGATATCCTACATTAATCCAGTCCCATTTGCCAGCATTTGGCCCATATCCCTCTAAACCCTTCCTATTCATCTACCCATCCAGATGCCTTTTAAATGTTGTAATTGTACCAGCCTCCACCACTTCCCCTGCCAGCTCATTCCATACACGCAGCCCTTTTAAATCTTTCCCCTCTCACCGTAAACCTATGCCCTATAGCTTTGGGTTCCCCACCCCGGGGAAAAGACCTTGGCTATTATCCATGCCCATGAGGATTTTATAAACGTCTATAAGGCCACCCCTCAGCCTCAACGCTCCAGGGAAAATAGCCCCAGTCTATCCAGCCTCTCCCTGTAGCTCAAACCCTCCAACCCTGCCATATCCTTGTAAATCTTTTCTGAATCCTTTCAAGTTCTATCTGCATAAAACCACACCAGTCCGCTACAGATTATGTTCTAACCTCTAAACCAGAGAAGTCCAGGTTCAAATGCCACCTATCCTGGCCTAAGGATGTATCATTACATGTCTGAATGGATTGATTAAAAATACTTCCTGACACCTTGTTGTGTATGGATACTGACCCTATCTCTGAACCAGAATGCCCAAGTTCAAGTTTCACCTACTCCAGAGCTCTAAACAGGGTGATTAGAAAATATGCAACACATTCTGATTAAAAATTGAAACAATATTTGTTGCAGCAGAGAGAAAAACAGATGCAATTAGAGGGACTACCTCCACTGAGGATCTGAGAAGCTTGAGAAGCCAAAGAGACTACAGAGATTTAGCAAGTCAGGAATTAAAGCCAACAAGTCAAAACAGTTCTGCTTGCCCAGTTATAGGAACGATATTATTAAGCTGGGTAGTGTTCAGAAGAGATTTACCGAGTATAGGTTAGAGTTGTAAAGAAAGGCTGGATAGGCTGGGACTTTTTCCACTGGAGCATTGGAGATTGAGAGGCATTCTTGTGGAAGTTTATAAAACAATGAGGAGTATTGATAGAGTTAATGGTAGTTGTCTTTTCCCTAGGATGGGGGATTTTAAGATTTGGGGGTACATTTTTAAGATGAGAGGAGAGAGATTTAACAAAGGCAGGAGGGGCAAAATTTTTACACAGGAGGTGATTATGTTCAGCATGGACTGGTTGGACTGAAAGATCTGTTTCTGAGCTGTTGTAATTCCAGGATTTTGTTTAGTTTTTTTTCATTTATTCATGGAATGAGGACATCGCTGGCCAGGCAGCTTATTGCCCGTCTGTAATTGCCCAGAGGGCAGTTAGGAGTCAACCGCATTGCTGTGGGTCTGGAGTCACATGTAGGCCAGACCAGGTAAGGATGGCAGTTTCCTTCCCGAAAAGGTATTAATGAACCAGACAGGTTTTTCCAACAATTGGCAATAATTTTTTGGTTAATGTTAGATTTTAAATTCCAGATTTTTATTGAATTCAAATTCCACCATCTGCCATGGCAGGATTTGAAGCCAGGTCCCCAGGATATCACCTGGGTCTCTGGGTTAATAGTCCAGGGATAATACCACTAGGCCATTGCCCACCCCTTGTTTGCAGTTTTATGAAAGTGAAACTGTGCTGGACAAATCTTTAGTGTTTTTTTAAATTTTAACTAATAGGGTAGATAAAGGGCAACCAGTAGATGTCATATACTTGGATTTCCAAAAGGTATTCTGCAAGCCATGTGTGGTTAATACAGCAAATAAGCACTTTGGGAAGCATGAATATGGGAATGGTTATAAGATTCAAACAGTAGTCATACATGGGACATTTTCAAGTTGACAGCTACAACTTTTTTTTAAGATTTATTCATTGCTACTCTGTGGACGTTGTTGGCCAAGCCATCATTTATTTCCCATCCCTAACTGCTGTTGATTAGGGTTTTAAAATACCTGTTGGCCCTAATCGAAACAGTGAAGTTATAACCAATTAGCCTGCCCATTCTTACATTGTGGTTCAGTGGTTAGCATCGCTGCCTCACAGTGCCAGGGACCCAGGTTTAATTTTAGCCTCAGGTGACCGTCTGTGTGGAGTTTGCACATTCTCCCCAAGTCTGCATGGGTTTCCTCCCACAGTCCAAAGATGTGCAGATTAGGTAGATTGGCCATGTTAAATTGTGCGGTGTTGAGGGATGTGCAGTTTAGGTGGATTGGCCATGGGAAAGGCAGGGTTACAGGGATAGGGTAGGGGGTTGGGTTTGGCTGGGATGCTCTTCAGAGGGTTGGTGCAGACTCAATGGGCTGAATGGCCTACTTGCAGATTGTAGGGATTCTATGATAGCCATGTTTAATACTAAATATATCTTTCTTGCTGCAAATGCACTTTTCACCATCAAAAATTCCTACAACACTGGGAGATGGCATTTAAATCTGATATCTGTTGAATGAAACAAATGAAGTTAGGGCAGGAAAGCAGTCCCAACAACAAAACTGACCAATAGAAGCCTCTTCGACAGCACCTTGGTAGTGCCATTAGTGCCAGCCTGTTTCACCTGTACCAATCTGTAGTTTTCAGTTCCAGTACACACCGAGCGTCACAGAGGGTCAACCACTCCCTCATCCATGGTAAGAAGCTTAAAGAATTACACCGGGCTGAGTTTAACCCTTTCAGTCTAGTGCCAAAACCAGCTTAGAAAGCGAAGCAAAGTAAAATTTAATTTCCTAAAACATCTGTGACAGAAAAGCAGAAAGGTTTTCAAAAATGGTCAAAATTAGATTTTTTTTATTTTACAAAGATCAATCCTCAACATTGAATAATTTTTATTTCTCCACATTATCAGGTCTTAGATACAAACAATATACAAACAATTTAAAGGAAGAGTTAATTTAGAAAAATAACGAAATTCAAGATTAAATATTGAGAGGCATGTCAGTACTTTAATAGAATCTCAGGCAGCTGCATTGTATTACTGTGTGTATGGGAGGTGAGCACTAGTATTGCAGAGCTACAAGGGCACAACCATGGAGCTCCAAGGGAGCTGTGAGGATCTCCGAAGGAGCCGTGGGGATCTCTGAGGGAGCCGCGGGGAACTCCGAGGGAGGAAGGGAGAAAATTGTAATGTTTCCAAAAGAAAAACTGATGAAAACTCAACAAAACAGGCAACAAAACGCTTGAAAAAGACCTTGCTAAACTCTCGTTATCGATACAAAATACAGATACCCCAAAATAAAGGATTGGAAGTTAGATAGCGTGCTGAGTAACAGGGATACAAGATGGTTTGTTATACAATTTCCCAGTGAACTCTTATCCTCAGATTAACCTTGGATGCTCTCACCCAGATCAGAGTGAATGGCCTGCTCCTGTTTCTGGTAAAAGATTATTGAACTGATACGTTAACCGATGCTCCCTGAATTGCTGTGCAATACCAGCATTTTCAGTTTTTCATCTTGTTCCTATTGTGGTGCTGCCATCCAGAGGTTCACTCCCTCCCATCAGAAAAGTCTCAGTCCTGCAGCCAGTTAAAGTGAAGTCTCCCAATCTCCCTATTAGTGTATACTTTTGTTAAACCCTGGTTTAGGTTCATGCAAGGCTATGCTGTTCCTTCAAACTGTGTCTGTCTGTCTCTCCCTCAATCCACACTAAACCTATCCTGTTTGCTAGATCTACAACCGTACCTTAACTCGCGGTTTCCAAGGGACCAGCCAAGGTTCACTATACTAGGCATGAACAATGGTAGTTGGTTGTTAAACAGTAACATACAGACATGACCAATCTCAGTCATCCCTGCACCCTTCATATAAACAACAGGGAGGGAGACAGTTCTGATATTTCCCACTATGTCCCTAAATGTGTGTCGGTTACAAGCGCTAGGTACAATGTTAAAAATAAAATAAACCTGTGACAAATTTTGGGAGGTATAAAAATATCTTGTGTGGGATTGTTTTGTTGTTTTAAAGCTTCTTGACCAGGGGAGCTCAGAAGGGAAGCCCGTGCTACTCTCATGATATAGAGAAGTTCAGGATAGATGGAGTCAGAGTGGGCCTCGATTCTGTTGTATTTGGATTGGGACTGACTCAGATACAGGCTGCTGCTAGGGTCAGAGGTTTGCTATCTCCGTGATTGCGATGCCTCAGTTACGTGCGGTGATGGCAAACCCTGCACCACGCCCCCCCCACCCACCATTTGCGAAACAAACCCGAGAGCAGACCCCGTCTTATCGCCTGAACTCAGTTTCGGTCAGTTCTCAGTGAAGTGACCGGTGATGGCGTCGATCAGCTCTTGCTTCTTGCTGCCTCCTTTCAGGCCGTACTGCTTACAGATCTCCTTGAGTACCGGCACTGTCAGCTTTCCCAGTGTCCCACCCTGTGCGTGTTGTCTGATCTCATCCATCCCCAGCGATTCCGTGACCTTCGGCTTCTTCTCTGCTCCCCCGGCAGCATCACCTGCAGACAGAAAACAGCGGTTTACACGTCCATTCTTCAGTCACTGTGAAAATTCCGAATGCCAAAGTTGCAATGGACCCACCCTGGAATGTGCTGGGTTTTTTTATTCACTGCTGGCACATAGGTCTCAGAGGCTGGGCCCATCACTAATGACCCAGGGGGCAGTTAAGAGTCAATCACATTGCTGTGGGTCTGGAGTCACATGTAGGCCAGACCAGGTAAGGATGACAGTTTCCTTCCCTAAAGGACATCAGTGAACCAGGTGGGTTTTTCTGACAATTGACAGTGGTTACATGGTCACTGTTAGACCAGTTTTGTATTCAAGATTTCTACTGAATTAAAAGTTCTCCCATCTGTCACAGTCAGATTCGAATCCATGTCCCCAAAACATCAGCCTGACATAGAAGAATGAACTGCAGATGCTGGAGGACTGAAACAAACAAAGACAGAAATTGCTGGAGAAACTCAGTAGATCTGGCAGCATCTTGGAGAGAGAAACAGGGTTAATGTTTCGAGTCCAGGGACTCTGTCAGAATTTAGCCTGAGGATTGGGATTAAATATTCAGCCAAGAGTATTACCATGTTTGTCTTGCATGCATCAGGACAGATACAAAAATGTCAAATTTCAAAGAAAGCAACAGTTCATACTGGATGAGAGCTTGTGCTGATTGGTCGGCAAGTCGATTCTGATTGGTCGGCAAGTCGATTCTG